AAAATAGTAATACTTTTGCACATTACTGACCTTCTTTATTGTATTTTAGACTTTTGTACAAAATTTCAGCTCAATTTATAAATATTTGAAGAGAAAAGTGGTTGGAAAAATTACCATTGAGAGCCTAACAATCACATGCTGTTGAATACTCTAGAATTTAATAAATTGGGTTAAATCTCGATATATGTTCCAGGAAATTCCAATACATTAAGTATTTTTTGAAATATTTGAATTTTTTCTAAACAAAATTGGATTCTTTGACATTTAGACAAAACGTAGAGCCTGAAGTACTAAACAGTTTCATAAGGTCATGTTATTCAGTGGTCACGTGCCCCATATACTTTACTATGGGAACACGTGACCACTGAATAACATGACCATAAATACCCTAAAATTTTATTAATGATGCAAAAAGTATTTTGATCCCAATAAAAACATCTTTGATGTAAAAAGATCCGAAAAGTAAAAGTTTTTGCAAATGTCCAAACAATTAGTGAAATAAAAGTTTACCAAGTAAAATTTAGAACTAAAGTTTTAATATAGAATTGTAACAAATATAAAATTTAATTTAATACCCATTAAGTCCCATGAAGAAACCAGACGTTTTATTTAAAAAGTAACAATTGGATTCATAAGAAAATTGAAAAAAAGATAGACCTGTTTTTTGTTTATAATTTCCAATTGTTTAAACAAATTAAAAATAAACAAATTATGCTGAGTATAGGATGTTTTATCCCAAGCATAAACAAATGCATTTTGAGTAAAAAATTGAAAAAAATGTACCTGTTTTTGTTAATTTACAATTATTTAACAATAATATTGTTTAAACCAATTAATAAAAATTTAAAAATTATCGATAATTCTTAACGTAAATCGATTCTGTGTAGAAAATTAAGAAAGTTTTGTATGTGTTATTTTCTTCTCCAGGTCGTATTTTGTTTATAAAATTGTTATTAACAAATTATGCTGCATAAATGTGTTTTATCCTAATTAGTTTGAGTTGGCACAAAACTATTAAATTAACAAACTGAGTTTAGTTTCGTGTTGAATCGAAACTAAATTCAGTTTGTTGGTTTAGTTTCGTGTCGACCCGAAACTAAATTAACAAATTAGATTTAGTTTCATGTCGACTGCAAACTAAACTAAAAAAAAATAAATTAGATTTTTAAACACTTGAATTTATTTTAGTACAGATCAAAAAAAATATCTGAGAAACTCAATTACCTAGTTCTAATTAAAAAACCACAGCTAACAATAAAATATTTAAAGAAATAATAGAATTATAACTTTAATAAAGATATACAGTAGTATGAGGAGACTTCAATAGAATTATAATTTATTTTTAGTTGACATGAAACTAAATTAAACGTAAATTTTTAATTTAGTTTTGTTTTAGAATCGGTCCCTGAGATTTACATGACGTACAAACATGAGAAAAAAATGTTTTTAAATTATCATACATTTAAAAAAATTGTTTATTGGTAATTACAGGGTGTCTAGCGAACCGGGAAATCGGGAAAAACCGGGAAAAACCCGGGAATTTGATTCGACCTCAAAAAACCGGAAAAAACCCGGGAATTTTCTATTTATAGGGTATTTTTTGAATTATGACATACAAAAAATTAAAATTTTTTTCAAAGCGTAATATAATAACACGGTCACAGCTCAAATCGTCAAGGGTAAATTGATAGTATGAAGCAGTAGTAAAAATAATAACTTAAATTTTATTTAAAACTAACTTTAGTACACGTTATATTATAAAAGTTAAAGGATTTTTACTATTATTATTTTTATATAACAATTTATAGGTATATAATACGTAACAAATTTTATAAGAAGAAATTAAGAATCTTCTGTGATATAGGAAAGGCAAAGATTTTACTTTTTAAAACTAAATATGGGGCATTCCATTTCAAAACGATCCTCCTTATAAACAATTGACATTGTAAGGCAATTTTTAAATCATTATTTCTTATATTTATTGAAGCCAAACTTTATTTACTATTAGTGGTTTTAAAACAAAAATTTCTCAACTTTATAATGGTAGAAAATTTTTTTTTAAATAATAGAATTTATGAAAAAAATTAAGTTTGAAAGATAACCTTTTTGAATATCTCAAAACACGTCGCATCCGATTTTTTTAAAACTTATGTCAAAATAAAGCTTAAATATTAAAATCCGATTTTTTTAAAACTTATGTCAAAATAAAGCTTAAATATTCTAGTTTAATTCTATGTAAACATTATAATGAGCAATTCATGGTTTGAGAAATTAATTAAATTTTACAAGTATTTCAAAGGGTATAATGTATGTACCGAGCGGAATTTTTTTTCAAATTTTTCCACACTTCAACCTCTAACATCTTTGTAAAATTTAACAAATTTCTTAAATTCCCCTGAATTGACAATTATATTATAAAGTTGAGAAATTTTTATAAGGGAAATTTTGATATTCTATGTCAAGTTTTTAGAAATTATTGTATAACTTTAATCATTGTAATTTAATAAAACAACATTTAATTACGTAAATAATGTTATTGATAAACATTTAAATAATTATGTTTTTAAATCCTTTGTGAATATCCGGGAAAATTATTCAAGAACCCGGGAAAAAACCAGGAAAAACCCGGGAATTTTAAATTGACGAATCGCTAGACACCCTGTAATTGCATTTAAACAATAATGAAGAATATGTTTTTTTCAAATTTATTATTTTGATATTATGAAAGTAGAAAATATTAGCTTTGAAATAAGATCTTAACTAACTTTCTATCCTTACTAGAACTTAAAATAAATAACTTTGTGTAATGTCGGTCGGTCGTTCTTCAACTGAATATCATAGAGTGGAAGAATGGATTGATAGAACACTACTGCGCATGCGTGATTTGATAGAACACTATTGTGCATGCGTAACATTGATAAAACACTACTGCGTATGCCTAATATTGATAGAACACTACTGCGCATGCGTAACATTGACAGAATACTACTGCGCATGCCTGACATTGATAGAACATTACTGCGCATGCGTAACATTGACAGAACACTACTGCGCATGCCTGACATTGGTAGAACACTACTGCGCATGCCTGACATTGATAGAACATTACTGCGCATGCGTAACATTGACAGAACACTACTGCGCATGCCTGACATTGATAGAACACTACTGCGCATGCCTGACATTGATAGAACACAACTGCGCATGCGTGACATTGACAGAACACTACTGCGCATGCGTAACATTGATAGAACACTACTGCGCATACCTAACATTGATAGAACACTACTGCGCATGTATAACATTGACAGGACACTACTGCGCATGCGTAACATTGACACAACACTACTGCGCATGCCTGACATTGATAGAACACTACTGCGCATACGTGATTTGTGAATATGTATACATGTGTTAATATTGTTTTTAAAAGATATATACATATATATACGGCTAGGGTCGGTCGGTCGTTCTTCAACTTAATATAATAGAGGATAGTTGTTATGAACAATTTAGTGCCGTTCTTTTTGGTCGAGAATTGAATCTTTTTTTCAAATGCTTGACAATTTCACGAAAATCAATATTTTTTAAATTCCCTACGTCATTCTCCAGCTATTGTCATGTAGATAAAGAAAATTTTTTTTATTTTGCTCCAGATTAAATTTTGCACTCTATGTGCTGCGTGCCTCAGAGCTCTTTAAGGGGGGATTCTCAAAAAAAAGTCGGAAAATGAACATTTTTGTTTTTTTGAAATTTTTTTCCATTGAATTAAAATTCGAAAAACGACGTTTTTTGGCGACTGCCTTTTTTATTTTTTAGTTTTAAATAAAACCCATAGTTTACAGACTCACCACGTATGTATATTTTAAGATTCTTTTTGGTTAAAAACCAAATCTAAAAGATTTCCGGTGATTCAAAATGGCGGAATTGTGTCTACCGCAAAACGCTTTATTTTTTCAGAGTCAACTTCACCACACTGTGACAAACGCTTAATTCAATAACTTAGATGTAAAAATATTTTTTGTTGTTGTAAAAATACATCAATTTTAATATGTAAAAAGATTTAGATTATTATTTTTAAAAATGGAAAAAAAATTTCAAAAAACAAAAATGTTCATTTTTTGACTTTTTTATGAGAAACGCCTCTTAAAAAAAGCATCTTATTAAAATGTCCGTAACTCCGTATTTTTTGTTGTTGAAAATTTACATTGTTTTAGTTCAATATACGACTAATAACATACTACATTATTATAATTGTATACGCTTTTCTTCCAACAAAAAAAAATTCTTGAAAACTGGTGTTTTTTTTGGCGTTTATAGTGGCCTTACCCCTTAATCATGAATAAAATACGTGCATATTTTCGATTTGTCAAACAATATTTTTTAAACAAAAAAAAAACAAACAAAAGCATACACAAAAACTAACTTCAAAGTATCGACAGACATAATGAAAGAATTAAATACGAAGATTATTATAGTTAATTATAATTTTCACCAGCAATTTCAGATACTTTCCATGTAATAAATCAAAAACTATTAATACAATAATAATACTATTTTATTCAGTGAAAAATACAAAATACATAAAGAGTATTTACAAAAATTTTTTTTTCCAAAAGAAACAAAAAATTCCCTTTTTGTTCTGTTTAAAAAATAAAGTTCAGGTCGAAAAATAAACAATTTTTAATTTAAACAATAATTCCCGGATGTTTCTTATCTGCAACAAAATAAATGTTCTTTTATTTTTCTTTCAAATGTTGAATAAAAATTGAAACGAACATAAAATTTTTGATATTCAATTTTTCTAAATCTACAACTCTTTACTGAATTTTCAAATATTTATAGTAGATTTTTTTAAAGTGTACTTACATATTTTAAAAATACAGTTTTTACTTTCTTTCGTCCTTTTAATTTAATTATAGATTAAATATAATTAATTACTGATTATTAATAATAAACGGTTTTAATTTACTTTTCTAAAAGTTCTATAATCTACTCACTACTAATGACAGTGGTCATTGGTAACTGTCTTGTTTTTGGAGGTACTTGAGGTGGATTTTTACGTCTTCTCGGCGATTTCTCATCACTATTCAATTGTTGCACCTGAAAAAAAATTTGTTTTTACTTCTTTTTGTCAACTTTAGGATATTAATATTTTTATTTCTAAAAATCTTATCTAATTTTGTATAAAATTAGATAACGTAACTTGCCTGATAATCGATGGCGTTAAATTGCCATTTCCAAGTGTGATTATAAAGAAAAGGCCGATGATCGAATCTATTATCGTCGGGACTGTAAGTTTCCGCGTGACATGATGGTGTCAAAATCGTCATTTTATGACGATTAATTGCGTAGCATCGATAGAAATGTTTCACTTTGTCTGCAATCTAGAGGAAAGAATAATTTTCCATAAAATTAATTCTTGTTATTTCAAATATTCTAAGTTATTTAGAATACCCACCAATAGGACACGAAATAGGTCTGTAAATTCAACTATGTTCAAAAATTAAAAAAAATTCTCTTTAAAATTTCAATTATCTTCAGAAATAATAAAATTTTCAAACATTTTAATAAAATTCTTGGCAAAAATTTAATTATTTTTATAAAGTAATAAACATTTCACAGGAATTCAATTATTTACAAATTGTCAAGAAATTTCATCGCAATAATTCAATTATTTTCATAAATAATAACAATTTTACAGGGATTCAATAACTTTCGTAAATAATAAAAATCTTTTTAGGAATTCAATTATTTTCATAAATAATAAAACTCATTGCAGAATTTCAATTATTTTTAATATACAATTTTAATCAAATTCCTCAAAAAATGTAATTTTTCTTAAAAATTTTATTAAAATTTGTTAAAAGAATTCAATTATTTAAAAATTTTAATTTTTTAAATAAAATTAAAAATTTTTGATACAATTCGTTATGAAAGTTGAATTTAAAGAAACATTCAATTATTCAATAAATGATTTTTTTGTATTTCAATAATAATTGAATTCTAGTAGAATTTTCTAATAAAAATTGATTTAAAAATGAATTTCAGTTTAAATGTTAGATTATAATTGAGGGCGTGGATCGGATAACTGCCCGTAGCGCATGGCCGAAAGGGACTATACCAGTCGGACAGCAGTGAGAGGCCTAGAGGCGCTCACTGTTGTCTGACTGTTATAGTCCCTTTCGGCCATGCGCTACAGGCAGTTATCCGATCCACGCCCTCAATTGTTAAATATTTTTTAACAAATTAATATAGACAGAGCCGTTTTTAGAGGGGGCAAGGGGGCGCTTGCCCCGGGTGCCACGATTTTGGGGGCGCTGCCCGTGTAGAAAAATTTCGGGGCAGTCTGGAGTCCAGAGATTGCCCCAACTAGACGCATCTGGACGGTCTAACTGTGTGCTATATGGGATTTTTCTGGACGGTCTAATTTAGACTTTCTAACTGTATGCTACATGGGATTTTTCTGGACGGTCTAATTTAGACTTTCTAACTGTATGCTATATGGGATTTTTCTGGACTGTCTAATTTAGACTGTCTAACTGTATGCTATATGGGACTTCATTGGCATCACTAGAATTCAAAATTTTTAAAGTACAAATTAAAGTAGGGGAGCGTGGGGTAATGGGAGCTTTTAAATTTCACGTACTTAAAAGCCTTCAAATTCGCTGTAATGTCTAGAAAATCTTCTACAACCTTTGTTTATATCATTCCAAAACAAACGATCACATTCTTGACAAATTTTTAGTAAAGACAAGGGAAAATGTATTTTTTGAGTTTTCGTTGTAAAATGCAAAATATTTCTAAACATCACCATAAGTAGTGAAAATCGTATTATTTAGTTCTGTTTTTTCATTATATTATAGGTGAATATGTGTAGATATGTATACTTGTATAAAAATCGAAATAATAATAAAATTTGTTAATGTTTTTATTTTTTTATTTAAATTTTGTCCTGTAAGAATTCTGTGGGGTAATGGGAGAATTAGTGTCAGACCAAAGAATTTTCGTTACTATGTTGCGTCTTTCGTTATTTCTTTGAAAATTGTAAAATATATCACCTTATGAAAAAACTTTTAATTAAAAAATAATTTTTGGTGGGAAAAATGAAAAATTTAATTTTTTTTTCAAAAATTTTTTATTCAATTATAATTTAGGAAAAAATTTATTCTAAGTCTAAAGTTTTGGCTTCATTGTAAGTATTAACACTTTTTTCTATTAGAAAACAAAAAATATTCCTAAAATATAGACATTTTTTAAATTTCAAGTGAAAGCTCCCATTACCCCACAAATTGGGTGATCGCAAAAAATGTATTTTTTTTTGGAAATTTTTTTTTTTCCAATTTATTTTCTCTTTTTAAGTTTCTTATTAAACATAATTAAGGATAAATAACGAAATGAGTAGGAAATGACAAAAACAATGTATTATTATAAAGATAAGTTGGTTTTTTTTACTAATTTTCCTTAAGGGGCTCCAATTCCCCCACGCTCCCCTACAATCAAGACTTTAGTGCCCGATTTGTCTGTCTTCTTTGAATTTATACATGGATTGTCACTTCAAAATTCAATGGAATAATTTAGTATCTAAAGAATCGTTCAAAAATAAATATTGTAGGTTTATATGAATTATTATAAATAAAATTTTCAATGAGTTTAATTAAAAATTCTAAAGATCTTAGATTTTTGAAAAATGCCTAATAATTCAAATTCTCCTGAAATTAGATAAATTTTTTAACATATTGTATTTGATTAATTATTAAAAATAATTTATCTGTAGAAGAATTTTAGTTAAAAACACTATAAACAATTGAGTGTTGGAGAAGTTACAGATTATTGTAGAAATTTAATTATTTTCAAAAGTAACAAAATTCTACACAGAAATTCAATTATGTTCAAAAATTTGTTTAAATTCTCATCAAAATTTCAATTATCTTTATAAATAATAAAATCGTTCTCTGAAATTCAATTATTTTCCAAATTTTTAACAAGATTCTTGGCAAAATAAAATGTAAGCAAAAATTTAATTACTTTCATAAATAAAAAATCTTTCACAAAAATTCAATAAGGATTTACAAATTTTTTATAAGTTTCTTCTCAATAATTCAATTATTTTTATAAATAATAAAATTCTCAAAATTTTTTTATTATTCAAAATTTCTTAGTTAATCTCAGAATTTCTTAATTATTTTTAATACAATTTTAATCGAATTCTTCGAAAAGTGTATAATTATACTTAAGAATTCTATTGAAATTCGCCATAAGAATTCAATTATTTAAAAAATTTTTGATAAAACTGAAAGTAATTCATTAAAAAATGGTTAATGATTATAATTGTAGTAAGAATTATTTATTTAAATATTCATATATAATAATTAAAATAATTCGGAATTATTATGTGTAATAATTTTAGTCATAGTTTTCACTTCGTCCTTATAAGCAACAGAATATATGACACTGGCATTGATATAGTAAATTAGGAGAGTTCACACCCAGACTTCAGTGGCCGTGCGGTTTAAATGCTTCGAGTCGGGTCGTTAAGGGTGGGGGGCGTGAGTTCGATCCCACATGCGAGCGGATATTTTTCATTGTAAGTGTTATATAAAATAATAAAATTACTGTATTTAATCTGTATAAGTGTTATAAATTAAAATTGTAAACATGTTTGTAAATAATGTTAAAGGCCTGTTAAAGAATGAATTTAAAAAATGTACCAATTAACGCAAATTGTTTTTTTATTAAAATTATCTTTCAATATTACTCTTTTAAATAATATTTACTGCTAGTGCAGTATATTATTTATTTGAAAATAATATAATTATTATAATAATAAGTTATTGTCATTAAATACATATACACACATATATATGAATAACAATAATATTTATTTATTATTAATAATTCATATTTTCACATTACATTGAATAAACGTGAGAACCGAGTAAATTTGGGTAAATTATTTAAAATTAAAAAACTGAAATATTGAAATCGAACCTAAAATTTGAAATATTAGTACTGCTCATTAGCCCTGATTAGCTCGTCCAGTCTGGACCAACGCGTGGTTCGATCGTCACTGGTCTGATTAGCCCATGGTCAGACAGTCTTTTCAGCGCCCAGTTAGAGAATAGACTGTCTTTCTGGCACCACACTAGAACCCAACAATTTTTCTACACGGGTGAATTTGGAAATACAAAAAGTTTTTAGCGTAATTTTTTTGTCTTAAAAATGTAATATTAAAACAGTGGATTATTTATTTTTTTTATTTCATTAATTTTCAGTCAAAAAATTTTGTGATTTTAAAAAATTTAAAATTGTTATGATAGTTCTTGAAAGAACAAATTTTCAAAAATCTGCAATACATGTTTCATATTACCCAAATAAACGTTAACATTTGAAGTTTGAATAATTCTTCTGGATCATATTTCGTTATTAATTGCATTATTGTAATAATTAATATTGTATAATAAAATTGTAATCATTGTAATAATTTTAATTTTTTTAAAAATTTAACTTTTAATAGTAATAATTATATGTGGACGTCCACATGAATAGGGCCCATTTTGGCACTATTGGAGTTAACTATATGGGCGTATTCCTGGCAAAATTTGGAAAATTGTGAGTGGTCTTAAAAATTTTTTGGTTAAAAATTCGCTGAGTTACAGAATTTCAAAGTTTAGAACGCCAAAAACCTCATTTTGAGAAAAACGGAATTAAAGATTGCGATACCAACTAATTGTTCTTATAATTGCTTCTTCTTGGAAGTTATTCAGATAAGAATTGTTTCCAGTTCAGGGCACCTTGAAGATAAAAAACCAACAGGTTTAAAATTTTTAAAACCACCCCACCCCCTCTTAATTTTGAAAATACGAAAAATCGACAATATGGGCCCTTTTCTAAAAAGGACAGTTTTTCTATTAAAAAACCATTCTTTTACAAGATTAATGATTAGGTACAATTTTATTGTGACATTTGAAGAAAAAGAATAGATATTAAACTTATTTAAAATTTTTTGACAGTCTCTATTATGAAAAAATTGACGCAATATTTAAATTTTCATTTCGACAATTACGAAAAAAAAGAATCTAACTTCAATATCTCTGGTTATTCTGGTAAGTTATTCAGATAAGAATTGTTTACAGTCCAGGGCACCTAAAAGATTAAAAACCAATAGGTTTTTAATTTTTAAAACCATCCCCCCCCCTCTTAATTTTGAAAATACGAAAAATCGACAATATGGGCCCTTTTCTAAAAAGGACAGTTTTTCTATTAAAAAACCATTCTTTTACAAGATTAATGATTTGGTACAATTTTATTGTGACATTTGAAAAAAAAGAATAGATATTAAACTTATTTAAAATTTTTTGACAGTCTCTATTATGAAAAAATTGAC